TCTATGTATCTATGTATGTATGTATGTATGAATGTATGTATGTATGTATGTATGTATGTATGTTAATGTATGTATGTTAATGTATGTATGTTAATGTATGTATGTTAATGTATGTATGTTAATGTATGTATGTTAATGTATGTATGTTAATGTATGTATGTTAATGTATGTATGTTAATGTATGTATGTTATTGTATGTATGTTATTGTATGTATGTTATTGTATGTATGTTATTGTATGTATGTTATTGTATGTATGTTATTGTATGTATGTTATTGTATGTATGTTATTGTATGTATGTTATTGTATGTATGTTATTGTATGTATGTTATTGTATGTTATTGTATGTTATTGTATGTATGTTATTGTATGTTGCTATAATCTACACTGGCTCATCCAGGCAGGCTTGTCTCAAAATATTTATCTACATTCTACAGAAATCTGCAGAACAACCATCTCGATTATTCATAAGTCTGGCTCGCCAGCGCCGAAACTACCGTGAATCATAGACAGCTGCAGAAACCGGTGCATGCAACATGGTGCTCCTCTCAGTAGTATGGCAAAGCTGCACACCGACTATCAATTATCCAGGCATTCTAAGCTAAATACTTTGGCTCGCAAAAGAGTGCCGCCACATCCCACCAACCCTCACATGAGAAGCTGAGGGCAGCACTTCTCCCAGTGAAGTTTGACATGGAAGCGAGGCGTCGGTTGTCCTCACAAGAAGTGGGTGGAACACCTTCCAAACAGACACACATGACGTTGGACCTCAAATGACCCCAGTGTTTTCGCACAAACATAATTTAGAATCAAGGTGCCTCTTAGGATTTTTGTGTGGTTCGACCAACCAATGTGGTCTCTGGCATAGCATTTTTGGGTGAAGCCTGGTTATACGGACCCGCAGTCATTATGTTGCCATCAATGTCTGACTCTGCGAACGGCAGTCCCTGGAATGTCGAATCGCCGAATCTTTCGATGGAATGGAGCCCTGTCATGCTGACACATCGGAGATTGCTCTTCGAATGACATGTTGTGCAAGATTCGGAGCCAACTAAAGAATGCACACCAAAGCCTGCAAAATATTTGAATGAAATAGCCGCTGCACGATACAAATCATTAGAGTCTGGCAGTGCAACACCAACGACAAGGCACACAAAACAAACTGCCAGCTGCCGACTCCAAACCTGCACTTTTTGTAAGAAGAAGCGGTCCCAAAGACCCATGGCCTTAGAATCCTTAGAAACAGGTTTGTCCATCGTCGATGACCTGCAGACATGCTCGGGCATTCCATGCGAGTTATGTAAACAGTTCTGTGGCAGTCTCACGCACCTTCCGAACAAGAAAAAACCAACCGCTGCCCCGTTCTGTGAATTGTCAAACATAAATATGGAAACGACCTGCTGCTGTTGGAAATCACACAAACTTTCTGATATTCTGCACATCAACCATTTGATGGCCGCAATCCATGAACATTATATAACCCGGTAATGTATGGTAATGTTGTATCCTGATTAGTAGCTGGGTTGCTGGGTTCGCTATTGAAGTGGTTAAAAATCTCCAAATTATTCTGAAACCATGTAATGTTTGGAAGGTTCACTATTGTGGCATATTTTTTTGGCAACCCAATTTTGATTATCAAAAAACATGTGTGTGTATATTTAAAAAAACAGGTTTTTCTTGGACAGATCTTGCTTGTCTGCCTTTCCAAAAAAGAATCAGATCGCTTATTAAACCCTTATTAAAGAACAAATTTTCCACAAGTTTCCAAGGGACAGACTGGGCCATGAGAGGGCCTAATTCACTTTAGTAGGTTTGTTCCAAGGGTTCACAATTACAGCCACCTTTTCCAGAGCTGATCCTGGAGCCAAAAGAAGAAAGGACAACCTTTTTACAAAACAACCGTCTCTTTATCTTTATCTTTCTCTTTATCTTTCTCTTTTTCTTTCTATTTATCTTTCTCTTTTTCTTTCTATTTCTCTTTCTCTTTTGCTTTTTTTCAATTTTTCTTTATCTGTCTCTTTCTCTGTTCCTTTCTCTTTCTCTTTTTGTATCTTTCTTTCTATGTACAGTATCTTTCTTTTTTCCTTTTCTTTCCTCTCTCTCTCTTTCTCTTTCTCTCTCTCTTTCTCTCTTTCTCTCTTTCTCTCTCTGTCTCTCTCTCTCTCTTTTTTCTCTTTCTCTTTCTCTTTTTACACCTTCAATAAAAAACTTGAGGTGGAAAAGGTAACGCAATCAACATGCTGAACCCCATTCACTACAAGTATTACACGCACTACAAGTACTACAAGTTCATCGGCAAAAAAGCAGTCTTAATTAGATTTCAATTGTGGCCAATTGAAATCCTTACTTAAATGCGGGAACTTTTTTTTTCTGATGAGCAGTTTTTTGACACCAAACTTTAAAGAGGGTAATTATAGCATGTGTTTGGGGGGTTACAGGCAAATCAGGACAAGCAAAACTGTGACTCAGCTACCTTGGTTTGTCCAGAATTGGGGCATGCTGAGGCATACTGCTGCATACCCAGAACTTGAGGGTTTTACTGAGAAAATGATGACAACAGTTGGATTCCAGGGTATGCTATTTCTTACCAAACCTACGAAAATGGAAAAGCCTCAAGGTATTGGACAGCCTGAGAATAGGCTTCTCTTTCTCTTCCTTGTCCTTACCCTCTTTGCCGACCAACACCTGCAGCTGAACACTCTGCGCAAGCTTCAAATGCATTCAAATGAATTCGTTCTAAGGTCAATGTGGTTCTACATGGCTTCCCCACATGGCAGCACTACTCCCAATGACACTTACACTCATAATTATACATATTCCAAGCATATCATCAAATCTTAGCTGCATGGTTCTGCTCATGCTGCATCCATGAACAGTGTAGGAAATGAACCGCTTCTCTGCTTTCCAGACCTTTTGCTGAGCAGGCTGGCAGACTGCTTGTTCAATAGCAAGCTGGCATTGGCATGCTTGTTTCCCGCCAAGAATCCTTTGCCTGTATGATACAACTATACATTATACAGTAATACAATGCTGTACAAGTACCATTGGTAATTTGCAAGGGTTTAGCCGGGCTAGCCACTCTAAGTTGGACTTCGTCTAATCCTCACGCCTTGTTCGTCTGACTTCGCAAAGCGGCCAGCTGGACCATGCGCTGCTTCTCCTGTCCCCATGAGGAGAGTCGGATCACAGGGAGGGCCAAGAAATGTCACCTATTCACCATCCCTTTTCAATAAAATTTACCTACAATAGGCTCCAGCACGCCTATTAGGTTGCCATCAGCAACGAAATCCATGACGATCTTTCCCACTCCTCTGGAAAGTCCAGGAAAATTTGACTCATCTCCTGCCTGATGCAGAACAGCTATAGATTCAAGCGAGCACACACATCATATCCCAGCTTCATGGATATAAAAATACAATATATAGACTCATAGAAACTATTTTGTACAGTAATAATATTATGAAATCTCAACTTCATGCTGGAAAACGGGGAAAATGGATGCCCGATGGTATCGATGTATCTGGCTCGGCTCCCCAGCTGGTCAATGGCAAAGCCCACGACCTTGGCAGAATCACCACGGCTTCTCACCACGGTTGCTGCGAATCAGATGTCCCCCTGCCTGTCCAACTGCGCGAACAGTTGCAGTGCGCTTGCTGGCCTGAAAGGCAAACCGTCAAAACCAGGTCAAAACCAATCCGAAGAATTGAATTGTAGTGAGGTACAAAACCTGAGCCTGGGGTGAATCATTTTGGGTTCCAAACCAAATTCCGTATCAAAATCTATAATTACCTTCTGGCAATGTAACCTTGGCAATTGTCCAACACAATTTTTATTTTTTTTGAATAACGTAGACGATCTTCCCAATAAATTTGGGGAGTTCCCATTGCCACGTAAGATTACCTGACGCTGTCCCCAACATCAAACAACCAGCTGCTGCCTGTCCCAGCAAGACAGCTTCACCAATCAGCCCGCCGGCCTCCAGGGTGACAAATCAACAGAATCCGAATCCCCATATATAATAAACATGTACTTACCACTTACCACCATATGACATCATATGACTATATACTATATATATATGACTCTATGAAGTCATACAAAGACAAGACGCAACCTTTCTTGTAATTATATATAACATTATATAACTCCGAAAAACACTTGAATCCAAGTTTCAAAACATGATACACCAAAGGAAACGACGCTTGTCGTTACACCCATTCTATCTCCCTGCGGCAGAATACCGCCAATCCACCTCTGGTTGGGTACCCCAAACCATTTGGAGTGACTTGAACTGTTTTACTCAAAATTAATTAAGCTGGCATGAACTGTTTAAATAAAATTGCCAAATTAGCTTGAGGTGGTCCCACTCTCATTCTCATACGTTCAATTCAAATCATTTGATACACCCCACCAAATCAATCCTCAGAAGGCGTGATTAATCAAATATAATCCATCGCACAAATAATGACTCAAAAATTGTCATATAAAGAATTTAGTTCAACAAACACAATTGAGACACGAACGGCACCAACAATTCACCCCCATTCATTTCTTTTAGCGACGACGGATTGTCACTAATTGCCATCCTCCAGGAAGACTGGCACATTTAATTACATTTAGCACGAACACAAGCCAACTTTGCACGTGAAACCTCTTTGAGAGGACAGTGCATCGGCACTGCGATCTCATTCTGCAAGCAGCCTTCTAAATTTGCATCTTCAATGCAAACTCCGAAGCCTTTTGGTGGAGTACGATGACAAATGGGGATCAGGGGATCACCCAAAGCCTAATGAAGTGCAAATTAAGACAAACAAAAATGCATACCTTTAGGATAGATTAGGCTACATCGCACTTGAACCAATGCCAATCGTGAATCCAGGGCCAGTTCCTTTCAATGCATCCTGTCCAAGAGCTTTGAAACATGTGGCCTGCTTGACAAAGGACAATATACTTTGTCCATGAGTCCATCATCAATTCAATCCATGCAAGCGCATCATTGCTCATTTCACCGTGATAGATGACGATTCGAGCAAGCCCAACACTTGCCGTGCCACTATATGCTCATGCTCACAGGCTAGCAAAACAAGCCCGTCCATTATTACCTGAACAATAATCAGCGTCCACATGCACACGTATTGTGGGTAGCCATTCCCAAATTTCGGCAAATGCCCAAGGATCTCCCAAGGTTGCCCCCTGATGGTCGTTTCATGCAAAGTACACATTATATTCTTGGAAAAGAAATCTGAATATATCATGATATCACTTGCCTCGCTGAAAATCTACCATGTGGGTTGTGCTGGGTCCCGGGCACAAGCAAATGAACTAGCTCAACGGGGGGATGTCACTATTTGATACTATTTGATGGTGTCTAGAAATTATGCCGCTATGCCCCAGAATTTTGGCTGTCGCTGTCTTCGTCAGCTGCAAACAAGACACATCAGTTTTCAAGTGACGTAGTGTCACTTCGGCCAAGAGCAGCAAGGCAGACTGCCATTTCCAGGCAGCTTTGCAAGAAGCAATGGCTGCCTCTGCTGACTGACTGGATGCTTTTCATTGTCTTGAAACATCTTGAAACAGTCAGGATCACTTATATGAAACATGAAGTTGCGGCATGTTGCGGCAACATGTGGCAACAATGGCCGCTCTATCCTGGCTGCCAACATATTTTGAAACAAATACGGAATACAGTGAATCCAGAGTCAAACAAATCTGAATGTTTACCAAGTGACGGTGAAAGATATACTGTCAGCTTGGAGTTGGTTCTCTTCGATGCTGGTCAACAAAAGCATTGCTTGGTTCCACCTGGAGGCCTTTTCACAGGCAGTGATTGTGGCATTGTATGGGATGACATCCAATTGAAGGCTGGAAACTTTGGCTTTCTGCAGCAAAGCCAATGCTTGGTGCCACTGGATGCAGTCCGTGCATGTGCTGATGGCCGCTGTGTAAGTAATCTTGTCAGGTGAGTAGTGAAGCTGCAACATCTGATTGAAGACCTCCAATGCCGCCTGCCTTGGACAAAAACCCAAATCGCCAGCACATGGAAACCATGATGATCATCATTTCTCGTCAGCACATCATCTCCGAAATGCAACATGCGAAACGAATGCTGTGAACATGTTGAAATCACCAGAAAGCACATGTGGTCTCGTTGCATGAGTTTGTCATGCTCATGTTGCCGTGGTTCGAATGTCATTGGTCACAGTACTCTACCCTACCCTCAAAGTTCTTGAAGCAAGCATGTCAACCAATTATCAACCATGAAATTTATATCAAAGCAATTGTCCTTCCCACAACTACTTTGCCAATTCCACCATGTTGCCATACCTCGGCCTTTGCACACGAGCTGATGCTTGAGTTGTAGTTGATCAGATCGGCCTGAAACGTTGAACAGCGGAACAGTGGAGGGAGGCCCTGAGATCAACCGCACAGGAACAGAATTTCAACACTGTCCCTTCGGCATGGAAAACACCGGTGTATTTCAGAAGAGTGAGGAATGATTAATAGGTTTCTCAATCAGCTTCTTTGTCCACAGGATTTCATAGGGCACAAAAGATTCAAAACTCCACCCCGGATTTTCGACTTAGAGCGACCTCCAACTGTGATGTAGTCAACTCACAAAGCATCTGCAGTGCTTGCTGCCATTCAGCAGCTTGTCCACAGGCCCGTATCACTGCCTAAGCTGGTTTGCTTACAGACCGGCTACCGATGCTTGATGGACATCATCCACTGGTCCGCCATTTGCGATGAGGTGAGGCAGTCTTTCAGGTCTTGGTCAAGGTCAAGGATTTTTGTCTTGTCAACTCCAATCTAATCGTTTTGGCTTATGGATGCTTATGGAGAAATACAGTACTGGACGGAAGGCATTTCTGAGCCATGTGCCACGTCCTTTGAACATTTTGAATGTGGATTAGTTTAATATGACGCAGATCAGTTGCGGACAAACCTTTGGTTCCAAGGCAGCGAGACAGCATGATGCAACCATTTCACGCACCGGACAAATCTAGACACAAGGGCCATGCAAAATGCTACATCATGGGTGCCACCGCTAAACCTGATCTAAACTCTCCCACCCCTAGGTAGGGGTGAAATTGGCCAAGTATAGAGGTAGACCATGGTAAACTCACCCGCTTTCGTGGTAAAAATTGGGAAAATATGTGACGTCCAATGGCTTGCACAGGTGCACTGTATGTGATGACATCAGCTTCCACAGATTCCCTCTCCAACTCCTCGAGAAGGAGCAAAGCACCAAGCCAATCCGCTGCCTTTTCGCAGGCATTCAGAGTCGAGTTGTATGTGATCCTCAGTCAACGAGTCTTTTCAATCAATTTAGATTCTGTAAGTGTTATTGCTATTCAAATTGGGATGAATCTGGAAAGAATATGAGAGAAACTGTGTCTGACAAGAGTCAAATCTGGTCGTAGTTTCCTTTGTGCAACATCCCCCAGCAATTGAAGAGCTGGCCGACTTTCAGAAGCGATTGAGCAAGCACTGATCGCCTGATACGCATGGAACCAGCAAGTTAAACAGAAAGAAAGAACGGATAACAATCATTAATATCATTACTGTAAGATTCCACTGGTGACGGATGGACAATGATGGACATCTTAAATCCACTACTAATTACTGCGAACAAAGTCCACGTCTGCGAGGGGAGAAAGCCGAGAAAGCCTGACATCTCACAAAACTTGGGGGATATCTGGCTTAGTGCATCGAGCTGCAGAATTGTAAATGATCAGATCCACCTGCAAAGACCTTTCCCCAACTTCACGGAGCAGCTGCAAAGCTTGTCGCCATTGAGCTGTCTTGTCGCAGGCAATGATTATGGCACTGTAGGTGATGACATTCACTTCCAAGTACTTCTGGTTCATCTCTGCGAGCAAATGAATCGCCAATTGCCATTCATCCGACTTTTCACAGGCACTGATGGCCGCACTGTAAGTGATCACATCTGACTCCAACTGATTTACATCTATTTGACGTAGCAATTCGAAGGCATGCTGCCACTGAGAACCCTTCTCACAGGCGCTGATGGTTGAATTGTAGGTAATCAGATCAGTCTCCAGCTGCCTCTGCCTATGCTCGCGCAAAAGAGCATAGGCCAACTGCCATTTGGCCGTCTTCTCACAGGCGCTGATCACTGATGCATAGCTGATGATATCCAGCTGAATCTCCATCTTTTGGATATCATCAAACACATGGATTGAAGCCTCCCACTGGGCTGCTTTACCAAGAGCACTGATGCTGGAGTTGTATGTGAAGATATTAGGTTCCACTTCATTCTGTATCATATCTTCTAAGACTTGCAGAGCTTGCTGCCACTCAGATTCCTTTTCGCAAGCACTGAGGGAAGTGCTGAAGGTGATCACATCAGCCTTCAATCGATGCTCTTCCGCACAATGCAAGAGTCTCAAACTGGCTTGCCACTGAGATGCCCTTTTGCAATCGCGAATTGCGATGTTCAAATCAATCAAATCCACAAAAGCAGCCCTGGCAAACGTCATAAATCGATATACATCGAATGTCAATCTTGCTGCTACAGCTTGAACCTCACCTGGAGATACCTGCAGTCTTTGTGGCAGTCCTATAGCATGGAAGAAAAACATGATGAACTCCTTTATTATCTTTATTTTGACCTGCGTCACCTATGTCATCTTAGGTCTTCCCCGTTTCACCAGATTGGAAGGCTGAACAACATCACATGTTGTTTGACTAATCATTGACTCGTTGATCAATTGATGGATTGCGGAAGAACGTGCTACTTCCAAAGACTTTCAAATCTTACTACGTTTCGATGACTTCCCGAAGCCCTCCTATAGTTCAGGCGCTCTTGCCCCTGTTTCTTCTGTTTCCAACTCATGAATGCCACAGATGTTTGCGCACTCTGGAAGATGAAATAGGAAGGTCCACAAAGATTGGAACCCTCAAATCTATCACAACATACAACCACTTATTATGTTTTGCAATATTGACTAATCATATACTTGAACGAAAGAAGAACATTGCATATCAGGAAATATCATGATACAAATTAGTATATCTAGAGATATATTATTATTATTATTATTATTATTATTAATTATATATTGTTATAATATATGACAATTTGTCACAAATGATCACAATTCACTGACCATCCCAGAGACACTGTTGACACTCACCCCGTGCCTGGACCTCACCCACCTTGGTTCCATTGACCTCCACAGTGCAGCAGCCGGATGCGATGAGAATCGCAAAGGTTCCGTCGTCTCCTTGTGCCAAGATGACCTCCCAGGCCAATCAAAACTTCAAAATCTCTGTCATTTTTCTATCTGATTCTATCTATGCATAATCGCTAATATTTTATGCCCGGCTCAATTGGTCAATAGATGTCAATAGATGTCGATGTCAATAGATGTCAACAGATAATGTCAATGGTTTATCCTTGCCTCCCGTTTTTCCAGTCTGTTGCTAGCTGGGGGTGCACCGGCCTCATTGTCAAAGACTCGCTTCTCCAAGATGTCTCTCAAGCAATCAAGGAATTCGTCGTCAGCGCCCTGCAAGAAGATAGAGTCTTCCGCTGATTTGACAAGAGAACACTGAAATCAAGGTTATCTGACAAAAACATTGGTTGCATGATGTTCGCGAGCCAGGTTTCTTCGTTTTGGGGTTCTCATGGCTTCTGAATGCCTCTGCTTTGGGATCCAAACTCCGTTCCGATATGGAAATTTGAAGATTCTTGTGTTGCAAAGTAATCGTTGCTTGCCGGGTTTAAAGAATCCAAACAACCTCGCGACAGCAATGAATGGGCCAGCACCCTGGCTACGAAGCTACCACAATGCTGGCCTCAAAGCGCTTTTCCAGGGTGTCCATGATGACTTTCTCTTCTTCATCGTCTGGCAGAACAGACAACAGCAAGACCCACACCATGCTGGGCATCTCTCCAAACAAAGCATCAAGTGGTGGCAAATTGAGCTAGTTCATCACATGCAACGAAAAGCGGTAAACCAGAAGTGGAGAGAGCAGCGACCTAGAACCTAGAAATCAAACTTTTGGGCAGCTGGAGTCACTCTGATGGTGTGACATGGAAAACACGGACAACAGCATTTCAAACACCTGTCAATGCAGCTCTTCTTTCAAACATTTAAAAATCTGTCTTCACATTGAAAGACATTCCATCTCTTGGCATCTCCTGGTGATTTTTCTTTAGCTTTTCTTTAGCTAAACTCCGGGTTTCTGATGGTTTCTGGACCCATGGACATGTTCGCATGTTCGGCGGATCTTGTGACCTGGCAGCGCCAAATCCTCCTGTGCCTGCCCCGAGCAGTGAAGGGTCTGGGCAAACGAGGGGTGTAACATTTGGGTGTTAATTGATTAATAATACAATGTATAATATATATATATGTATTACTGTATTATGATATATATGTATATATTCATAGAACTTTATGACATGATCAAATCTGATTGACCATGATTGACCAATATCTCTCAATGTGCTGATCAATATCAGGGGGTCATCCTTTGCGTGTCGAACTCATCTTGTTTCTTCTTTACATGACAAGGCCCGCAAAAGGAAAACCTCCAGCAGTTGGTCCACCAACTGCGTTAAGGTCCAGGTGCGACATGCATGCGACATGCATGGGACATGCTTGACAAGGTTGCAAATGATGAAGCCATATTAATATATTCATACTTGTCAAGGCCATTACTAGATATTCATATGGCATGACCTTGATTAATCTTGATTGTAGAACTCCCGTGACAGGCACAAGTCTCTTTCCAAGCCAGCATTGAGCGGTCTCTTGAAGGAACTGTACTACCATCATCTACCATCCAGATTTGGGAACTCATTCTGGATCCAGGCATGCATGTTCATTGATATTCCCAGGAGCGCATGATCATTCATAATGTATATCCACCGGTGCAATCGAACCCCTGACTGACTACTTCAAGTTTACGGTAGTTTCACCGCCAACGAGTAGCTCCTAATCATCACCCAGCCGAAATCCAAATTCAATGATAGGGACCCCCACAAAGATCAGCATGCGGCTGGCACGTCTACCAGAAGCGCTCGGCCTGGTGTTCCAGGAAACAGCTGAATACGAAGAGTCAAGAGGACCACGTCCCTGCATCTAATCTTTACATATAGATATATTATCATATAATATATGATGCATTATATTTATGATGTGTGATTCAACTCAATGTCAAAATGACTTACTGCATTATATATTGAATATATAATAATATCTTGAATATATAATAATATATATCTTTTATATTGTATATGGAAAAATATGAAAACATGGCAACTCTGAACTCTGCATGCGAATGATTTGATCGATCGTAGATGTTGCTGCCAACTACTGAACTGACACCCTTACTTTAGCCGGGACCGGCTCATTCGTCGTACAGAAGGATTGTGTGCAATTTCTTCTTCCAAAAAAACCGCCGACGTAGCACTAACTGGGCAACCGAACGTCATCGGTTCCAAATCATGCTGTTCCTTTCATTGGCGGGGCTGTTCAAAATATTTCAAACAATGGATGTCAAAAACCTAATTACAATTTTGAATACTCTAGTTTGGATCATACAATTCTGGTGCGGGACAGCTTCTTGGAAATTATGTTTTAACTGGGTTATCGGCCGTGTCCGATGATGGATTTAAGCAAAAAACATCTGCAGGTGCAGAAATAGGTTTGGAGCATCTGGAAACGCCAGGAAATATTCAGCATCTGCGGAAGAGTGGCCGCATTGGAGTATACATATTTCATCTTATTTCAGAGTTTTGTGCTGCTGTTTGTCGATCTTTCTAGCATCTGTCTTAGGTTTTGCACCCTTGGGTTGCACTTGCGCTGTGGAAGTTCCTTATTAGGGGCTGTGGCTGCTGTGTGCTCATGGGGCGGGCGCATCTTACTGACTGTATGCTTTTTGTTGTTTTTTTACTTCGCTGCTTTGATCATACTGTGGAAAGCATCTCACAGGCAGTTTGGTTTTGCACTTTCTTGCAGCAGCTTGAAGGGAGGTGGAAAGCAATGGAAAGCATCTCACAGGCTTCTTAAGATGAATACTCAAAACGTGTCCGGGACAGCGATGTCTCAAACGCCTGCAAAAACGCAACCCCAGAGTTTTTGACGGAACTCAAATGGAGGGGCATTCAAGTCAAAAGGTAAAGTATCAGAAAGCCAACTTCTTTTTCTGTCCCAAACCATTCACCAAGATTGTGACTTGAAATCTGCAAATTGCGCAGAGACTCAGCAGAAGCATCAGTCTGACTTCAAGCTCCGCCAGTTCCAACTCCATCGTTTGATGAGTTTTCAATCACAGGAGTATTGTGCCAGTTTAAGCTGGTTTGTTATGGTTTGTTCAATGTTCTTCATAGAAATTGACAAAATTCACTCTGAATTGACCCAAATCTCTATATAGATGTATATATAATTATACACAATTCTACAGATATATGTATGATGTACTTATACATACAAAGCTAATCAACGCTATGTCTATTTTCCCTGGCCTCCTCCACCAAATCTTCCCAGCTGCGGCTCACAAATGGATACTCTTCCAGCAAATCCCGGAGCTGGCGGAAGCCACGGGGCTCGCCATGAGGATTCCAATGGCTATGGATTGAATGTTGGGTACCCGTAAAATCTGCTTAGTGAGGCCCCACAAAATTGGAGAATTTGGAGATTTATAGAATGGGTTCATTTTGCTGCTTTTGGCCAATTTTGAGGAACTGCAATTAAATATGTAATTCGATTTAAGACCGAAGTATGGAAATCATAATGTGACGGTGCTTTGGTTAATAAGTTATCATGTAGTTAATACAAAATAATGATCTGAAAGTCAGCGGTCGATTTGGTCAAAGATTCCCTCGTGGATCAGAACCATAGTGCCCTTCTGTTCCCACCCTGAAAATTAATGGACTAGACCGGAATGGGATGATATAACATATTTTAACTTCACCCATCTCGTAAAGTTCTCCAGCGCTCAACCTCTCTGCTCAGGAAACCACTGACTCGCTTCAAATAACAGTTTCGGATCATTTTGGGTTCAACACATCTACAAATTATATAAGATATTTCGGCATTTTGAATATTTTCCAGTTTCTTATTTTTCAAATTCTCCACGCTCGGTGCAGGTGCCTGTTGAATATCCACTTTGAAGTAGCCGCAGAAGCTATTCACCACAATGGAGGTCTGCACCGGGGAGGCATCGTTCAGCCAATGACACCAGCCATGTTACAGTGGTAGTGGTGGTGTCTGCTGGGACAAGATATATCAAAATATCTTCCATCTGCAGGATTGTCAATCATCATTGTTGGACTTCAAGTCTTTATCATGCGACTCTACGACTTAGATCTCAAGAATCCAAAACACTGAGAAGCAAACCCTACGTCCTAAGGACCAGTTTGGCCTCTGCAGGCTCGTTCGGAGATCGCACTGCAAAGCAACCCACAGTGCTTGGCGCCTGAGCCGAGTTTTTCCATCATGGAACCGTGCCCAAGCGCCACAGAACCGGCCTTGATCTCAGGCGGAGGGAAGTCGGTGTAATCCCTCGTGGCAAGCACTTTGCCTGTCACTCGAGATCCATGGAGACTGTCCAAAGAGATCAAATATTCAAATATAAAAGTGTCAGAAAAAGGAACATGTGATGAACATATGAGTAAAACTGATGAAACACCTGCTCTGCAACACCATCAAAGAACCAGCTAATCTCAACGAGTACGAAAAACAAAGGCTTCAAACAACATTAACCTTGACTTACACCAAAATCCACAGACTGCTTCTCGGGTTCCCAGAAACAGTTTCTTTGCTTCAACCACACAACAAATGTTCCTTGTTCGTGTGACATCCGGGGGAACCCCTCGAACCTCGGAAAATGAAGTACACAGTGGAAATCGTTTGCCCTTCTTCAACCAATTTGGCACCACTACCTCAGTGATCTTCCCGCGCTGATGGTGACCATTGGTGACCATTGGTGACCACAGTTCTTGCCAGCTTCATGTCTTGTTCCAGTGATGGCATGGCGGCATGGCTTATCATGACTATTATGAAACAAATCCAGCATGAGTTTGGTGGAGAAGCCACAAGTGAGGCCAAGTCAGTCTATCACCTAAAATCCGCACTTTTTTGCGATTCTGAACTACAGCATACTACAGCTACAATCTGGGTTCCATTTCAAAATATTCCAAGAAGAATAATACTCGTAAATACTCCGAGTAAATTCTGACTGGAGCTCTACCAGCTACGACATAAGCGGACATGAGCCTGCCTGAGTTTTCTTGAGTTCCCTGAGTTCCCTGAGCTCCCTGAGCTCCCAGTCTTTAAACAAATCCATTTCATTCCATTTCCATGGATTTCCAGGAAAAACATAATTTTTGGCCGGTGAATCATAGTTTCCTTGTGTTTCCTTCACAAAATGTCACCAACAAAACTGGGCCAGTTTCGATTTCATCACATCTCGGTCCCCTGAGGTCTCCACAAGCGGCCCCGGCCGTGCAAATCGCCTTGAGGCGTTCCAGGAAGCTCAGCGGAAATCGGCTCAGTCGCCCGATCTCTCGGAGCTCCTCGGAGAGACGTAGGCTACGGAGGGTTGGATCCACGATCCTATGACAATAACAGAACGCTTAAGAGTAGACGAACTTATACAATAGAATATACATCATATAATATATCAATATATTTCATGTATGTGCTATATATCATGTAATATATATATATACATATAATGACGGACTTGATAGAACTAGCCCACCTGAACCAACGTCAGAGTAAATGAATATATACAGTATATATATTTATTAATACACAATCCGCGTTACAGAATGCCCTGGAATGAGCTCACTGGCAGGCTCACATAAAACCCCAATTGTGACTCAGTGGGTCCTCAGGAAATCTCACGCCAAAGCCTCGCTCCTGAAGATGTAATCAACAAGGATAATGATATAATGTTGGTTACTGATTAGTGTGGGGATACACTATTGTGTCCACAGACCTCAAAATTATTCTGTTACTCTGGAAATGTTCGAGGGGTACACTATTGTGTCCACAGGATTTTGGTGTAAGTTTTTTTTTTCATTTTTTTCATTTTTTAGTTTTTAATTGTTTTTTATTTTATTTTAAAATTTTAAAATATTTTTTATTTTTATTTTTAATTATAATAATTTTTAATTTAATTATTTTTTAATTTTATTTTAAATTATTTTTTATTTTTATTTTTAATTATAATAATTTTTAATTTAATTATTTTTATTTTTAATTATATATTTTTCTTATTTTGTAAAATTGTGTCAGGATACACAATTGTGTCATTGTGTCAGGATACACAATTGTGTCTTGGTCTTTTTTTGTTGTTCAAACATTTTTCATTTTTTTCATTTTTTTAAAGCTTTTTCCTTTTACTTTTTATTTTCCATCATTGAAATTTTCCAGATGCCTTCCACAGAAAATTACATCCAGGTACAAAATAGTGTGGTTTGTTTGGGGGTACACTATTGTGTCCAGCTGCTTCCTGAGGTCATGATTTTTTTTGATTTTTTCAATCATTTCCTTTACCTTTTCCTTTGCTAGCTAAAGTGTTTTCCTTTCAATTAATTTTTTTCTTAGTTTCTTTCATTTGAAATTCTCAGAAATGACCAGTTTCCCAAAATATATGATGCCTTATTAAAACCCAATTAAAAACATCACTCAAACAATTTTTCAAGGGGGTAGTCCATGAGCAACCCTGATACAGAATAGTATGGTTTGTTTGGAGGGTACACTATTGTGTCCAGCTGCTTTCCTGAGGTCATGATTTTTTGATTTTTTTCAATCATTTCCTTTACCTTTTCCTTTGCTAGCTAAAGTGTTGTCCTTTCAATTAATTTCTTTCTTAGTTTCTTTCATTTGAAATTCTCAGAAATTACCAGTTTCCCAAAATATATGATGCCTTATTAAAACCCAATTAAAAAACATCACTCAAACAATTTTTCAAGGGGGTAGTCCATGAGCAGCCCTGGTACACAATAGTGTGGTTTGTTTGGAGGGTACACTATTGTGTCCAGCTGCTTTCCTGAGGTCATGATTTTTTTGATTTTTTCAATCATTTCCTTTACCTTTTCTTTTGCTAGCTAAAGTGTTTTCCTTTCAATTAATTTCTTTCGTAGTTTCTTTCATTTGAAATTCTCAGAATGACCAGTTTCCCAAAATATATGATGCCTTATTAAAAACCCAATTAAAAAACATGACTCAAACAATTTTTCAAGGGGGTAGTCCATGAGCAACCCTGATACAGAATAGTGTGGTTTGTTTGGAGGGTACACTATTGTGTCCAGCTGCTTTCCTGAGGTCATGTTTTTTTTTGATTTTTTCAATCATTTCCTTTACCTTTTCCTTTGCTAGCTAACGTGTTTTCCTTTCAATTAATTCCTTTCTTAGTTTCTTTCATTTGAAATTCTCAGAAATGATCAGTTTCCCAAAATATATGATGCCTTATTAAAACCCAATTAAAAAACATGACTCAAACAATTTTTCAAGGGGGTAGTCCATGAGCAACCCTGATACAGAATAGTGTGGTTTGTTTGGAGGGTACACTATTGTGTCCAGCTGCTTCCTGAGGTTATGATTTTTTTTTGTTTTTTTCAATCATTTCCTTTACCTTTTCCTTTGCTAGCTAACGTGTTTTCCTTTCAATTAATTCCTTTCTTAGTTTCTTTCATTTGAAATTCTCAGAAATGACCAGTTTCCCAAAATATATGATGCCTTATTAAAACCCAATTAAAAAACATGACTCAAACAATTTTTCAAGGGAGTAGTCCATGAGCAACCCTGATACAGAATAGTGTGGTTTGTTTGGAGGGTACACTATTGTGTCCAGCTGCTTTCCTGAGGTCATGATTTTTTGATTTTTTTCACTCATTTCCTTTACCTTTTCTTTTGCTAGCTAAAGTGTTTTCCTTTCAATTAATTCCTTTCTTAGTTTCTGTCATTTGAAATTCTCAGAAATGATCAGTTTCCCAAAATATATGATGCCTTATTAAAACCCAATTAAAAAACATCACTCAAACAATTTTTCAAGGGGGTAGTCCATGAGCAACCCTGATACAGAATAGTGTGGTTTGTTTGGAGGGTACACTATTGTGTCCAGCTGCTTTCCTGAGGCCATGATTTTTTGATTTTTTCAATCATGTCCTTTACCTTTTCCTTTGCTAAAGCCTTTTTTCTTTTAATTGCTTAATTACTTTCTTAGTTTCTTTCATTTGAAATTCTCAGAAATGCCCAGTTTCCCAAAATATATGATGCCTTATTAAAACTCAATCGAAAAACATCACTCAAACAATTTTTCAAGGGGGTAGTCCATGAGCAACCCTGATACACAATAGTGTGGTTTGTTTGAGGGTACACTATTGTGTCCAGCTGCTTCCTGAGGTTATGTTTTTTTTCAACCATTTCCTTTTCCTTTTCCTTTGCTAAAGTTTTTTTCTTTTATGGTATTTCTATGGTATTACTATTGGATTTCTATGGAATTCCTATGAGGTCTCCATGATGTTTCTATGATATTTCTGGAGGATTTCTATGGGATTTCTGAAGGGGTGCTATGGGAGTTCTATGGTATTCTTATGGGATTTCCATTGGATTCCTATGGGATTTTTATGGTATTTCTATTAGATTCCTATGGAATTTCTATTGGATTCCTGTGGGTTTTCCAAGGTATTTCCATGATGTTTCTATGATCTTTCTATGGGATTTCTGTGAGATTCCTATGGGATTTCCATGTTATTTCTATGATCTTTCTATGGTATGGTGTGTTAGATTCCTATGGAATTTCTATTGGATTCCTGTGGGTTTTCCAAGGTATTTCCATGATGTTTCTATGATCTTTCTATGGGATTTCTGTGAGATTCCTATGGGATTTCCATGTTATTTCTATGATCTTTCTATGGTATTTCTGTGAGATTCCTATGGGATTTCCATGTTATTTCTATGATCTTTCTATGGGATTTCTGTGAGATTCCTATGGGATTTCCATGTTATTTCTATGATCTTTCTATGGGATTTCTGTGAGATTCCTATGGGATTTCCATGTTATTTCTATGATCTTTCTATGGGATTTCTGTGAGATTCCTATGGGATTCCCATGTTATTTCTATGATCTTTCTATGGGATTTCTGTGAGATTCCTATGGGATTTCCATGTTATTTCTATGATCTTTCTATGGGATTTCTGTGAGATTCCTATGGGATTTCCATGTTATTTCAGTTCTTTCTATGATCTTTCTATGGGATTTCTGTGAGATTCCTATGGGATTTCCATGTTATTTCTATGATCTTTCTATGGGATTTCTGTGAGATTCCTATGGGATTTCCATGTTATTTCTATGGTCTTTCTATGGGATTTCCATGTTATTTCTATGAGAGATTCCTATGGGATTTCCATGTTATTTCTATGATCTTTCTATGGGATTTCTGTGAGATTCTTATAGGATTTCCATGTTATTTCTATGATCTTTCTATGGGATTTCTGTGAGATTCCTATGGGATTTCCATGTTATTTCTATGATCTTTCTATGGGATTTCTGTGAGATTCCTATGGGATTTCCATGTTATTTCTATGGTCTTTCTATGGGATTTCTGTGAGATTCCTATGGGATTTCCATGTTATTTCTATGATCTTTCTATGGGATTTCTGTGAGATTCCTATGGGATTTCCATGTTATTTCTATGATCTTTCTATGGGATTTCTGTGAGATTCCTATGGGATTTCCATGTTATTTCTATGATCTTTCTATGAGATTTCTGTGAGATTCCTATGGGATTTCCATGTTATTTCTATGATCTTTCTATGGGATTTCTGTGAGATTCCTATGGGATTTCCATGTTATTTCCTATTAGAGATTCCTATGGGATTTCCATGTTATTTCTATGATCTTTCTATGGGATTTCTGTGAGATTCCTATGGGATTCCCATGTTATTTCTATGATCTTTCTATGGGATTTCTGTGAGATTCCTATGGGATTTCCATGTTATTTCTATGATCTTTCTATGGGATTTCTGTGAGATTCCTATGGGATTTCCATGTTATTTCAGTTCTTTCTATGATCTTTCTATGGGATTTCTGTGAGATTCCTATGGGATTTCCATGTTATTTCTATGATCTTTCTATGGGATTTCTGTGAGATTCCTATGGGATTTCCATGTTATTTCTATGGTCTTTCTATGGGATTTCCATGTTATTTCTATGAGAGATTCCTATGGGATTTCCATGTTATTTCTATGATCTTTCTATGGGATTTCTGTGAGATTCTTATAGGATTTCCATGTTATTTCTATGATCTTTCTATGGGATTTCTGTGAGATTCCTATGGGATTTCCATGTTATTTCTATGATCTTTCTATGGGATTTCTGTGAGATTCCTATGGGATTTCCATGTTATTTCTATGGTCTTTCTATGGGATTTCTATTCCCTTCAGTTCCTTGCTAATTTTTTTGTTTTTTTATTTTCTCATTATTTCTTTTTTATTAGAATTCTCAGAAATGCTCAATTTACCAAAAAATATAAATGCCGGATTAAAACCAATTAAAAAACTCCTCAACATTTTTCAAGGTATTCCATGAGCAACCCTGAACAGAATAGTGTGTGGTTTGTTTGAGGGTACACTATTGTGTCCAGCTGCTTCCTGAGGTGATTTTTTTTTGAAACATTCCCTTTACCTTTTCCTTTGCTAAAGTTTGTTTCCTTTTACTTAGCTTCATTTTTCTTGGAATCAAAACCAAAGGCTTTCCAAAGGATTAGTTTCAGGCAAGGAAAAAAAAACATGAATGATCATGATACACAATAGTCTGGTTTGTTTGAGGGTACACTATTGTGTCCAGCTGCTTCCTGAGGTTATGTTTTTTTTCAACCATTTCCTTTTCCTTTGCTAAAGTTTGTTTCCTTTTACTTAGCTTCATTTTTCTTGGAATCAAAAGCAAAGGCTTTCCAAAGGATTAGTTTCAGCCAAGCAAAAAAAACATGAATGATCATGATACACAATAGTATGGTTTGTTTGAGGGTACACTATTGTGTCCAGCTGCTTCCTGAGGTGATTTTTTTTGTAACATTCCCTTTACATTTTCCTTTGCTAAAATTTGTTTCCTTTTACTTAGCTTCATTTTTCTTGGAATCAAAACCAAAGGCTTTCTAAAGGATTAGTTTCAGCCAACCAAAAAAAAACATGAATGATCATGATACACAATAGTATGGTTTGTTTGAGGGTACACTATTGTGTCCAGCTGCTTCCTGAGGTGATTTTGTTTTTAAACATTCCCTTTACATTTTCCTTTGCTAAAATTTGTTTCCTTTTACTTAGCTTCATTTTTCTTGGAATCAAAACCAAAGGCTTTCCAAAGGATTAGTTTCAGCCAAGCAAAAAAAACATGAATGATCATGATACACAATAGTATGGTTTGTTTGGGGGTACACTATTGTGTCCAGCTGCTTCCTGAGGTGATTGTTTTTTTTCTTTTACTTGAAAGTAAATTGAAATCAATTGCAAGTAAATTGAAATCAATTGAAAGTAACTTGAAATGAGTATGATCATGATACACAATAGTATGGTTTGTTTGAGGGTACACTATTGTGTCCAGCTGCTTCCTGAGGTGTTGTTTTTTTTTATATTCCCTTTACATTTTCCTTTGCTAAAGTTAGTTTCTTTTATTTTCTCAATTAGTTTCTTTTATTTAGAATTCTCAGAAATGCTCAATTTCCCAAAATATATGATGCCTTATTAAAGCCCAATTAAAAAACATCACTCAAACAATTTTTCAAGGGGGTAGTCCATGAGCAACCTTGATACACAATAGTATGGTTTGTTTGGGGGTACACTATTGTGTCCAGCTGCTTCCTGAGGTGATTGTTTTTTTTCTTTTACTTGAAAGTAAATTGAAATCAATTGCAAGTAAATTGAAATCAATTGAAAGTAACTTGAAATGAATTGAAAGTAACTTGAATTCAATTGAAAGTAAATTGAAATCAATTGAAAGTAAATTGAAATTAAATGAAAGTAAATTGAAATCAATTGAAAGTAACTTCAAATCAATTGAAAGTAAATTGAAATCAATTGAAAGTAAATTGAAATCAATTGAAAGTAAATTGAAATCAATTCAAAATAAATTGAAATCAATTGAAAGTAAATTGAAATCAATTCAAAATAAATTGAAATCAATTGAAAGTGAATTGAAATCAATTGAAAGTAAATTGAAATCAATTCAAAATAAATTGAAATCAATTGAAAGTAAATTGAAATCAATTGAAAGTAAATTGAAATCAATTGAAAGTAAATTGAAATCAATTGAAAGTAAATTGAAATCAATTCAAAATAAATTGAAATCAATTGAAAGTAAATTGAAATCAATTTAAATCTATCATTTTTTTTTGATTTTACACTATTCTGTACCCGGTAATTTGTTTTTTCCACACTATTCTGTAACCCAAATTTGTTTAGGGGGGAGGGGGGGGGGGCCTCCCCACACTAATCAGTAACCTACATTACACATGGTCCAGCCCCCAAATCAACAAATCAACACAACAACAAATTCTTTTGTGTATCATGGAAAGCTGGAGAATCTGCCACGGCAGGGTGTGTAAGTTCCTCATGTCTGTGTTTTTGTCTTCACAACCAATCCAAGCGTGTCATGCACACCAAGCCAGCCTCCAAGAGGTTTAGAAAGCGTTGAATTTCTCCAGGTGCCCGTGCAATAGCGTCACACAAACAGCGTCCTGACAGCACAGCAGAAGCATAAGTATGCCACAATTAAGAATTTTAAGCCCTTGTTGCACATGCCCAAGTGATGTACGATGATGTACGACTATCATAGATTTCGGATAGCCGCGCAAAGAGTCAGCTATAGAAATAAATCGTATATATATAATATAATCTTATAAGAATCTTATACTTATAATATATACCTGGAGCTTCCAAATACTGGATTTTTAAATTCCAAACCCAAAAAAGATCGATTTTGGGGGTTGGTGTGAAAAAAAGAACACCAGAGTGGTTTTTGCCGTTCCTGACACTTCGGACGTTCTGGAGTGGAAAAAAGCGTTCAAAAAGCGTTCAAAAAGCGTTCAAAAAGCGTTCAAAACCGTTCGGATGCGTTCTGGAGTTAAAAAAAGCGTTCTGGAGTGGAAATAACCGTTCAGGAGTTCTTTTTCTCTTGAATTTGGCAAAATTGATCGATTTTGGCTTTGGTGTGGAAATTTCCACGATCAAGGGGATCCAGGTATATATATATATATATTATGTTACATATCTCATCTAAAACAACTGAAATCAGCACATTGAGACAAACATCACGGAATGAGCAACCCTCACACCATCTACTTGGGATTGCTGAAGTCAAAATGACCAGCTGCATCCAGTCCTGGGATCGCATACAAATCGGCGATGGTCTCTGAAACCACCGACATTGCTCTGGTATTCTTCAACTCAAGCGCAATGTTCTCACCAAACACTGCTCCTCAGCAAGTCTTGGCGAATCCTTCCGGCACGTGAGCCCGGGGTCTGTAGCGAGACCTTAAGTTTGTTTAGCTGTACATCAGCCACAGTAATGCCACAGTTGAGCCGTGTTTTTTTTTTGGTTGCTAAAGGCCTATACACTGATGGCGGGGCTTCGCTAGTGGCGACGCAAGGCATGGATTTGTGCAAAGGTTGGCTTCGCGCGGCTTCGCACAACACTTTTGCCTTCGCGAACTGGTTTCTCGGGGGCTCTTGTCTAGCCAGAGCAAGATACCATGTCTCAGCAGGTGGAAGAAAGGAAGGTGAGGTTTTGAGCCTCAGATGCGGAGGCGAGAGGGTGATGGCAGGAAATTGGTCCACGGAGGCTTTGCGTGGGCTTTGCCGGGCTTCGCGAAACAGGGCCCGGAATTCTAGGAAGGCATGCATCTGGTGAGACGTTTGAAGACCTTTGAGGCGACGTTTGAACGGCGTTTGAAGACAAACACAGAGCACCAGTGCCAGAAACAGAGAGCTATAACCATCGTGTATATCTAACATATTCTAACATTATCATACATTATCTTTATATCTGCTTTCGCGAAATGCCTTCGCATGTGTCAAATCTAGAAGCTTACGCTGAGAGGCTTCGCAAGCCTTCGCGGATTGACAGGTATCACACAAAATGCTTTCGCGTGCTTTCGCGGTCATATGTTGAGTTCCCTCGTCATACAAAATCCATCATCTCAAAAAAAAAAGCTGCCCAGTTGTATCCGGTTCCAACTGCATTCAAGCCACCCTCTCCAAGAAGCTCATCTTGCACTCCTTGGCGCCTGGAAATTGCTGACGAGCTAGTAAAATCTAGTAAATAGATGTAAATAGTACAAACATGTACAAACCACAAAACAGACCAGCAAAATCCAGATTGAAAATCCATCTAGAACCTTCCTGAAATGTTGGTTTTGAATGCTTTTGACCTACGAAGATCTACAAACATGGCTCACCTCGTTTGACGCCCCGCGGAGGCTGCTAAGCGCTTGCCTCGAGAAGCCAACACGTCCGTTGCTAGCACGTCAAGTTTGCATTCAAATCTGCGCTTTGTTGAGTTGCCTTGAAGATGGGTGAAAGATTTGTGACCAAGCACCTGGTTTTGTCGTTTTCTTGTCCGTGCCATCAAAATCTTGGTGAATGATTTGAGGATTTCGAAAGCTTTGCTTCAGTAAGTCGGCATTGGGACTGCAAAAGCGTGTCAACATTTCTATAACTCAAGTGAGACTACCAAGGAAGTCCAATGAATAAATCCTTCGCGTGCTGACTTCGCTATATAGACATAATATTACAATATATTACATAATATAGACGTTCTATCTTCATAGGGGACTAATCAGCAGCCGTGTCTCAGCCCAATCCACTCCGGGACAAGCTGCTGTCAACGTTAGCTTGTACTACTCGAACAACTCCCCGAGCCACACAGAAAAGATCTCTCGTTGCGCTGGCTTTGCCCTTCTGATACACCACCTGTGCGTTGGTCTCCAGCTGTTGCGGGACCGAAGAGCTTTCACACACGTTCCTGTATTCAAATGTTCATTTTCTTAATTTCCTGCAAGCTGGGAAAGACATGTTGATGACGTAACATGAAGCAGAATAAAGTCCGTTCCGGCTAAAAGGGGCAGAATCGCTCAAGACAGTTTGGGGGCAGCCGGCTTTGTCAGCCTCACCAGAAGCCAAGATGATGCGACTGCTCCCCAACTCCAGGGTTTCCACGAAGTTCGCGTCAGCATCGCTGAAGAAAGGCATCTCAGGGGTAAAGCTTGCCAGAAGAGTCGGTATATTGTGTCGGCATGTACTGTTCTAAGTTGGGTTTTGTGTTTGGGGAACTGGAAGGTTCTGCACTGGGTTGATATTCATTGAAGAAGGGTACCTTCACAATCACTGAGCAAAAAGAACACACGAACCGTGATTTTTTTTCCTACACTTCTTCTGAAGAGGTTTCAGTGCTACTATGTGCTAATCACCATGACATCCTTGGTCAGATTCTTTTGCAGTGTAAACATGTCAACTGTCAGTTTTCTTACAGATGCAGAAGACGTCTCAATTCAAGCACATGTGCACCCTTATTTTCTCACGTGCTAATTTGTTGAAGTTCAGTGTGTATATATATATATGATATATGATATACACATAACTTCAGTAAAAAACCGGTGGACGACGCGTCTCTTCGCGCGGTGTTTGTAGGTTTCTGAACTTACTTCAATTTGACAAGACCAAACCATAATAATCCATACTACATATATATATATTATAAGCTTATATATGGGGGTTGTCCTAAATTACTGTTCCCACAAAGGCCTCTTGGGCCGAGCTTGCGCCAACCTTGCGCGTTTCTTGCGCGACCACACTCCCGGATCACTTTCATCATTTCAGTTGTTTTTCATCATTATTCTCGTACTTGTTTTCGAATGTTAAATATTTAGCATTCACTTAGTATTTCGTACTGGGAAGTAGTTTGTGCAAGCTTTGTAGTACACAGTAGTACTGGGAAGTAGTTTGTGCAAGCCATGCAGTACAAAGTAGTACTGGGAAGTAGTTTGTGCAAGCTTTGTAAGTAGTTTGTGCAAGCTTTGTAGTACACAGTAGTACTGGGAAGTAGTTTGTGCAAGCTTTGTAGTACAAAGTAGTACTGGGAAGTGCTTTGTGCAAGCTTCGTAGTACACAGTAGTACTGGGAAGTGCTTTGTGCAAGCTTTGTAGTACACAGTAGTACTGGGAACGACTTTGTGCAAGCTTTGTAGTAAAAAGTGGTACTGGGAAGTGCTTTGTGCAAGCTTTGTAGTACACAGTAGTACTGGGAAGTGCTTTGTGCAAGCTTTGTAGTACACAGTAGTACTGGGAAGTGCTTTGTGCAAGCTTTGTAGTACACAGTAGTACTGGGAAGTGCTTTGTGCAAGCTTTGTAAACACAGTAGTACTGGGAAGTAGTACTGGGAAGTAGCTCTGTACGTGTTGAACTTCTGTGGTTTCAGAGCGGTTTCAGAGTGGTTTCAGACCCCTTCGGGGGGTCTAGCTGACCTTGATGAAAAGAACAATTTACAGACAGAAAAGACTTGAACACAACATACAAGGAAATACATTTAAAGAGCAGATAAATAGATAAATAGATAGATAGATAGATAGAGATAAAGCAGCCAACGCGGTCCGGAAGACATGCAGCAGCAGCCCGGAGATGGTGAGCAGGAAGGTGTTTCAGAGTGGTTTCAGACCTCTTTTGGGCTTGTTTTTTGGGTACCCCCAGCTTTGGGAGATGAAAAAGAAAGAGAAAAGGTAGAGAAAGAGAGAGAGAGAGAGAGACAGAGAGAGGAAGAGGGAAAGAGAGAGAGAGAGAGAGAGGGAGAGAGAGAGAGAGACAGAGAGAGGAAGAGGGAGAGGAGACAGAGAGAGAGCATTGTAAATGGTGAGCAGCGGGGTGTTTCAGAGTGGTTTCAGACCTCTTTTTGTCCGTAGGCTACCTCAGCTTTGGAGAAAAAACAGGAAAGAACGGGAAAAGAAAGAAGAGAAGGGAGAAAGAGACAGAGAGAAAGAAGAAGTCTTGAGACGGTGAGCAGGAAGGTGTGTCGAACTGGTTTCAGACCTCTTTTGGGGCCGGTTATGGGGCTACCTAGTTCTTAAGACATCCAAAAAAAGGGGCTCAAAACAGATTGTACTTGAAACACATGCGGTCCGGAAAGATGAGCAGCGGTCCGGAAAAGCAAGCACTCAACAAGTACTCTAATTGTAGACATTGCGGCCCGGAAAGACATGCAGCGGTCCGGAAAAGCAAGCACCCAAAACGTACTCTAATTGTACACATTGTGGTCTGGAAAGACCTGCAGCGGTCTGGAAAAGCAAGCACCCAAAACGTACTCTAATTGTAGACATTGTGGTCCGGAAAGACCTGCAGCGGTCCGGAAAAGCAAGCACCCAAAAAGTACTCTAATTGTAGATATTGCGGTCCGGAAAGACGTGCAGCGGTCCGGAAAAGCAAGCACCCAAAACGTACTCTAATTGTACACATTGTGGTCCGGAAAGACCTGCAGCGGTCTGGAAAAGCAAGCACCCAAAACGTACTCTAATTGTAGACATTAGGAGCCGCTGCAGGTCTTTCCGGACCCAATGGCCTACAATAGAGTACGTTTTGGGTGCTTGCTTTCCGGACGCGCAATGTCTTTACGGGCCGCAATGGCTACAATTAGAGTACGTTTTGGGTGCTTGCTTTTCCGGACCGCTGCATGTCTTTCCGGACCGTAATGTCTACAATTAGAGTGCGTTTTGGGTGCATTGCTTTTCCGGACCGCTGCACGTCTTTCCGGACCACAATATCTACAATTAGAGTACTTTTTGGGTGCTTGCTTTTCCGGACCGTTGCACGTCTTTCCGGACCGCATGTGTTTCAAGTACAATCTGTTTTGAGCCCCTTCTTTTGGATGTCTTAAGAACTAGGTAGCCCCATAACCGGCCCCAAAAGATGTCTGAAACCAGTTCGACGCATCTTCCTGCTCACCGTCTCAAGACTTCTTCTTTCTCTCTGTCTCTTTCTCCCTTCTCTTCTTTCTTTTCCCGTTTTTTCCTGTTTTTTCTCCAAAGCTGAGGTAGCCTACGGACAAAAAGGGTCTGAAACCACTCTGAAACACCCCGCTGCTCACCATTTACAACGCTCTCTCTCTCTCCTCTCCCTCTTCCTCTCTCTGTCTCTCTCTCTCTCTCGCCTTCTGTTTGTCTCCATCTTCCATCCTCCTCTCTCTCCTCTTCCTCTCTCTGTCTCTCTTTCTCTCTCTTTCTCTTTCTCTACCTTTTCTCTTTCTTTTTCATCTCCCAAAGCTGGGGGTACCCAAAAAACAAGCCCAAAAGAGGTCTGAAACCACTCTGAAACACCTTCCTGCTCACCATCTCCGGACTGCTGCTGCATGTCTTCCGGACCGCGTTGGCTGCTTTATCTCTATCTATCTATCTATCTATCTATTTATCTATCTATCTATCTATCTGCTCCTTTTTCTTTGGATGGCCTATTTACCACCCTGGTTATCTATGTTTATCAACTCGAGATATTAATATTTAAGATCTAAATCAGATACGGTGGTGGTAGTAGTAGTAGTAGTAGTAGTGGTAGTAGTAGTAGTAGTGGTAGTAGTAGTAGTAGTAGCAGTAGTAGTAATAGTAGGAGTAGTAGTAGTAGTGGTAGTGGTAGTGGTAGTGGTAGTGGTAGTAGTAGTAGTAGTAGTTGTAGTAGTAGTAGTAGTAGTAATAGTAGTGGTAATGTTGTAGTAGTAGTAGTAGTAGTAGTAGTGGTAGTAGTAGTAGTAGCAGTAGTAGTAATAGTAGTAGTAGTAGTAGTAGTGGTAATGTAGTAGTAGTAGTAGCAGTAGTAGTAGTAGTACTAGTAGTACTAGTAGTACTACTAGTACTACTAGTAGTAGTAGTAGTAGTAGTGGTGGTAGTAGTAGTAGTAGTAATAGTAGTAGGAATAGTAGGACTAGTAGTAGTAGTAGTAGTAGTAGTAGTAGTGGTAGTAGTAGTAGTAGTAGTGGTAGTAGTAGTAGTAGTGGTAGTAGTAGTAGTAGTAGCAGTAGTAGTAATAGTAGGAGTAGTAGTAGTAGTAGTAATAGTAGTAGTAGTAGTGGTAGTGGTAGTGGTAGTAGTAGTAGTCGTCGTCGTCGTGGTAGTAGTAGTAGTAGTAGTAGCAATCAAAATGTTAATTAAAAATAGTATTTGTAATAATGATAACAATAGTACTTGCGCGTACCTTGGGCCGCCCTTGCGCGAAACTTGCGCGATGCAGGTTTTAGACCATGGGAAAAATGCGAGAATAGGTCCTTCACTAAAAACCTTTCTGGGGTTTTTGGACGGCTCCCATATAGTTAAATATATACACCATTACCATGACAGTATAAGACTCAAACAAATTGAATCCACAAGCTGAAGGCCTTTCCTTGTCCCTTCCAAGCCTGCTTCAGTGCCATGGCTTTTGGCTTCAGAAGTGAAGCATGGTACATCGCCACCTGTGAAGCAATGGGCTTCCGGTCTGGATCCTGGGGAACCCAAATCCGGCTGCGCCTTCTCAAGCATACGGCACTCCGCCGGAAATGCCTTCTGCAGTCTCCTGAGGCAAAGCGTTTTAAAGCTGCAACGCGGCATTGTCATAGAACATCATAGAATCATTACTACATATTACTATATATATAATTATATATATAATTATATCAAATTCCATTTTGATATTCTGCAAATTTCTGCAAGAAAGTCTTCTGTCACGTGCTTGTCCTGAGGTTGGCAGGTGCCAGCTTCCAAATAATACAATCGGTCACTGCCTCTGTGCCACAGTCATCTGCAAAATCTGTGGACATACAAATGTCGGCCAACTTGTTCCAAACAAAGGAATGCCACATTGGATCAAACCAGGAGGAGTTCGCAAATAGATTCTATCAAACATTTGCAGTACAATCAGTCTCCAACGAAGCAATGACAAATTTGTACTGTGAACGAAAGGAACATGCTCTTTGCGACACTTTGATCTCAACAACAACCAACACCTATATAGGGACTTTAGGACATCCTACAGCATCCTATAATACTAAAACACCTTTCCTCCGTTTTTCTACAGGCCTGTGTAGTCGCAAAAATAGATTAAATGCACAACATGGAAGAAATTAAGAGGAAATGAAGCCTCAAGGAACATGCTTGAGACTGGGGGTTGACAAATGATCATCATCACCTGTAACACCCATCCTTGCAATGACTTGCGCCCCTTAGTTCCGCAAGCTTTCCCTGCTGAGTTTCGGCTTCTTTTTCGAGATCCCGTCTGAAACTCTTGGTAAAATATGGTAAAAGAAGTGAGGGTGAACTTCGTAGACATCACAACAGGTAACATGGTTTTGATGCAACTTCGACGATCTGTCACTTGTTACACTTGTTTCGCATCTTGCCTTCACAGGATGCCGGCTGATGTGCGGTGTGATCTGAGTTCCTAGGAGCTCAATCAAACACCACCAGGCAGCCCATGCTTGAGCACCTGGAAGAAGTCAAAGTGTTAATGCAAATGCTGACTTTTCTGGGTTTCCATGGTTTTCCAGGAACCTCAAGATCCTCAAGTCTCTATCGAAACCCAACAAGACTCATCAAGACCCATCAGCACCCTGGCAGCTAATAGTGCGAACCCTGGAGATAGACTTCAAAATATGCCAGAGAAATTCTAAAAAATCAGAGAATGCAAAATCCAGAACCTGGCTGTCATCCAACAAATCCAAAACCAAACCAATGCGGCACCTTTGGTGTGTGACAGTCTCAGAAAGCTTGACGTGGATGACCCAGAGTCCAAGACCTCATGGTGCAACGCTTGGCATTCCAATACCATACCCTGCACGTAAGGAGCGATTACCACATGCACAGCTACCTCCCGTTTTTTGGAATTCAGCTTGTGGCTTGAGTATTTATAGTTGGATGGTTTAGGAAACGGATGTAATTAGCTATATCAGTGTCACTTTGGAATCAGTTGCACCAATGCTGCAACATTTGAATTTGGTACAGTAAGTTCTATACTCCTTTCCAAATGTATCAGTATCCCCAAGCCAAGCAACATCTGCTTCCCCACGCCACACGCAGAATGCCCAATCCTTCCGCTTGCAACAGGGAGCTTCCAATGGTTCCAACACTGTTTGAGACACCGCATCTGGACACAACAAACAACACTGAGTTGTTGCTCATATTCCATATATTGAATGCATATTACTACACTACCACACCATGCGACCCCAACAGGTCCACTCATGTCGTTTCTAGTTGACAAACTTCTTCAATTGAGGAGGTAGTTTGGTGCCTGCAGCTCATATTCCTTGCAAATGGTGCTTCCAGCCTCAGGGATTTCTGACACTGGAATCTCCTACCATTGAATTCCCGCAAAGTCTAGCAGTTGCCTCCCAGTCTATCAAGTCCCACATAGTAAGGCTAAGCGCGCGGCAGAGAGAATTTGAATGTCAACTTCTTCCACCAGAGCTTCCTGAACTCAGCGTGATCAAAAGTCTTGCAGAGTGAATTTCGCAGAATCACACAATATCGCACAATGCCGTGCATTCCATGTATATTCGTGCACAGTATGATAATATGGTATATCATATCATATCACTAATTTTATCTATACTTACATAATCTTACATATACTTACATGCTGCGCCATGCTGACCATGCTGACCATGCTGACCATGCTGACCATGCTGACCATGCTGACCATGCTGACCATGCTGACCATGCTGACCATGCTGACGATGCTCCTTGAAGGCGGTGTGAGCATCAAAAAGACGAATTGGCACAATCCGTGTTGGCTCACCTGGGAGGCCGGCCATGCGAATGGCGTCACTGGACGCTGTCTCCAACACACAAAGGAGCCACAAGAAATGAAATGACATAGGCAAACATGTTGTTTTGACGAGATCGACACAAATGAAGCCGAGGTACTTGGAGACAGTGTGACTGCATGAAGCATATATATATACATCTGTATATATATATATACATACATATGTACATGTATATATATATACATACATACATACATACATATGTACATATATATACATATGTACATATATATATATATACATCTGTATATATATATACATATGTATATAGAATATACATTTAAAGAACTTGAACTGGATATTGACACAACATATCACAACGGATCACAAAGGCGCTGCATGCAAAAGGAAAAATAAGTTCATGCCACTCTGAGATCCTGCGAACATTAAATCTATCTAGATTTAGGAAGCGATGAATCGGAGGGGCTGCAAAGGCAATCCAACAGAGTCCTAACATCCTAAAACCATCCTAAACTGACTGGATTCGACATCATTCAACATCACTCAACGTCATGCAACATCATTCAACATATTCCAACATTCAAGTCCTCTTAATCTATCTCAATCTACAAAAATCAAACATTTTTAGATCATTTTCCAAGCTCCAATCTTTGCACTGAGGGACCAAGCTATAAAACGTCTTGAGGACTGACACAATGTCATCTTGTGCTCGCTGCTTCAAAACTCGCGCGTCTCCACGATGCCTCGGCAGGCATGGCTCAGGATGACAATCCCCTACTATTATCAAGATACTGGAACATTCCCTATACAAGACATACATATACAATATAATATAATATAATAAAAAGTAATATAATATAATAAAATATAA